TCCTGCTTCTGGAAGACAGAAATGTTGCTACATTCTTAACCTTGCAAAGGCATGTGAGCTCTTGATACTTGAATAAGCCATCAGAGCCTTTCCCTCAGGAATTTCATCGCTCTCTAGCCAAATCTGTATCAACCACTCTGCAGCTGCTTGGTGTACCCAAGCCAAAATTGAAAAGAAGTATTTCCCAGGCTCTCCTATGCCCTCCTCTCCTAGAGGTGCTAACATTCCCCTAGAAGACTGGTGTTTTAGAAGCAGCTGTGAGGAGAAAATGACACACGTGGCTGCAGAAGAAAGCACCAGCAAAGCAACTCATACTTCATCAAGAAAGCAAGATTTTGACCCAAACCAGCATGGGTTTCCAACCTACCTCTTTCATTGGGCTCGTATCTCTGAATTAAGGCAGGGGCAGCAACAACAGCATCTTCTTCTTGCTGCGTCTCATAGAGGAACCTCACCAAGTTCTGGCAGGACATGAATCCTTCTGCATCTGAGTACTTTTGGAAGATCTTGTCTATTTCCTTCCTTTCTGTCAGTATCTTGTAAAATTCCTCTATCTCATCATCCTCCAGAGCCTCTGTTTTGGACTTGTCACAGTGCTGTAAACGTAGAGGGGAGAAGGAGTGAAAACCTTCTTTCCTTCTGGCATACGCCAGCCGTAATCTGCACCAGGGCTACACAACGCAGAACACAAAATAATTGGAAACAGTTACTGGCCAGTGAATGAGAAGCACTTGGTCAATGACAATGGTTCTCATTGACAAGGCCAACAGTCATATAACAGTCAAAATTATTATTGTTTACTCATATTCTCAGTGTGCTGAAAAACACCAGGCATGGCACTGAGCTCCACTGCACTTTGTACAGTGCAAACCATAAGTTAAAAGGACCGTTCCTGACAATCTAAGTCCAAATCAAGGCTCAAGAGAAATGTGCCTCTTGATCTCAAGAGGTGGAAGAATATAGTGGAACAATTAACTCAATGCATCTTAAACTATTGATAGAAACCACAATCTAAAGTCCAGTAAATAAAGTGAAAAGGGCCTTCCCCTTGATCTTAGTGGGTTTGAGCTCAGGTCTCGAGAGACTGTCAAGGCTAGTAGTGGGGCTGATTGTTAAGATGGCATCAAAACCGACTTTAAAAAAAATCCTGCTAAACATGTGTATGTTTACGTATGAAAAAAATCCCTCTTTCCATGGAACTTTCCCATTCTCATTGAAAAACCACCAATTAACAAAATCTCCACAAAATCTCAAATCAGGTATCTTCTTCTCAAGGAGCTGTAATTCAAATTCTTCATGCCCCCATGTTCCTCTGTGGTTTACACTTCTCCACTAGGTAACAGCTCTGACAGAGCACCACAGTCAGGGACTTGACTGACCATGAAAGATCAGGAATTTAAAGATATGCGGGTTGTTGTCTCCCTGGACAGCAGCTTTTCCAGCAACAAATATTTCCAGTTTATTTAAAATATTCTCAGGTTCAATATTTTCATTAGAAAAAATGGAGAGGTGAACAACTATTTTTCAGTCATCTCTGAGATGCCAACCTCTGCGTCAAATACAGGCTGAGCAAACAATCTGCAATGGAAAGCAAGAGCCTGTCTCAGAGGAATCACTTATGGCAGGGAGCATTATACCACTTCCAAATATTTTTCCTTGCAAATTTCAGCAATTAATCCACTTCTAGTTAATGCCTTGTTGTCAATATCTAAAGCAAGCAAACAGACCCTCAAAAGTAGTGTCCTAATCTCATACAGCCCATTCACATTTTACACTTCAGGTAAGTCTGAAAAATCCCATTTTTGGCATGGACACCAAAACCCCTGCAGGACATTACTTGCCTTACTTAGTCTTTGGCCTAAAAGCTTCTCTTCTTCAGGCCTGAACCTGGAATGGAAAGTGTACTCCAAACCACTCGGAGGAGGTTGTGGTGCATTTCATTTCACCCTCACGATGGACAAGTTGCTGTCAGTTACTCTGACTTAGCTGACAGAGGGTAACTTGTCAAACCAGAGGAACTGGTTTTGGTCTTTGATCTCTTATAACAGATAAAGTTATTGTCATGAGTTTTATGACCAAAATGTCTCAGCTTAACCAGTCATCATACTAATCTCAGTCTAACTCTGCTAGTGATCTCAGTGGTGGCCATGGTGGCTTTGGCAGTGCCCCGAACAAGATGATAACAAGGGACTTTCTTCTCCTACAGATACTGCACTGGAGTCCTCCCCTAGCAGTTCAACAGTGCACATATAAAGCCAAACAGAATTATCACGATACACAGCATTTCACAAACAGAACTGATAGCAAAAAGTTCAACTTGTCCAGAATCTGCTGGGTAAAATCTATGGGCTCATCTCAGGGGATGGGACACCCTGTGAGATGCTCACTACTACAGACACCTTCAAATTAGGTTTGAGCAGTCCAGGAACCGTCTTTTCCTTTCTGCCTTCCATGTCTGTATGATCCTGTGCTGTGGCTTTGGCAGATCTCACAAGCTAAGCTGAGCATGATGCTTAGCAACTGAAAAAGGAATATAAAGAGGGAAACCAGCTGGTGGAGACTGCAAGGATGCTGTGAATGACAGACGTTCTTTTCTCTAAGACACAACAGGGAAAATGACATATTACTTCTAGAAAACTGGCGTTATGACTGATGTGCCTTGGGAATTTTGTTCATTAGTGGCTATCAAATGTTGTGATGGAAATAGGACAATAGCATTGGCATCATTGTCATATTCCAGGACAGATTATACGCACGGTATAAAAATGAGCTCCTTCTGCTTGGGCTATAAGAGCTCCAAATTAGAAAAAGAATCTCAACACAAAATACTGTGGTTTACCTCACTTGTATGGATCATGAACCATGAGGTCTGGATGAACTTCGGCCTGCCAGAAAGAGTCAGAACTTTCTGATGCACCAGAATGAATATTCAGGTTGAAATGAAGTGAGGAATTAGGGGAGCTTTGCACCATTTCTGGTTGCATTGCATATGTCTTACTCAGGTCTGTCTAAAACCTAGATGTGGACACAGAGTTATGTGACAACAAGTAAGAATAATGCGAGAACATGCCATGTAGCGCTCTCTTGAACCCTTGATCACCCTTCCTTCCTGTGAGTACATGAAGAAAAACGCACTAGGAGAGAAAAGATCACCTGTTTAATATGCTGGAATGTCTCGGTCCCTCTAAGTTTACTCAGTATGTAAACTGACAATGTCATTGCTTTAGGAACAAGACAGACTCTTCCTGGAGGCAATTCAGCCTACAAGAGATCTGAATTAACCTCAGAAGAGCCTCTCTTTTCAGCGGCTATACAGGAAACTTACAACAATTACATGCTTAATAAGGGTACTTCAACTAGCTGCCTGCATTAAGATGGGTTGAACCAAGGTTTAGTAATTACTTGGAGTCCTTAAGCAAAAAGCAAATCGAGCTTCAAGTTTCCACTCCTAGAGCTCCCTTGTAACTTTTGCAATAGGAAAAGAGGTTCATTGAACGCAGTGGAGACTGTACCTCTTAAAAAAAAGTGTGTCTTTCCAGATTTTTGATGTTTGAAGATTTAGGGAGTGATTCAGCTGACATATGTGAGATGTGTGCTTTAGGATTAAGTGAATTGCACCCTGGTGTCAGTTATTGGTTTGACGTACACAGACTGCAGAGGAAGCGTAAGTGTTGGTGACTACTTCCAATGTAGATGTCTGCACTGGAGACATCTAACTCCGTCAGAGGAATCCTAGCCTTATCGCTATTTTTCCAGGGTCTTCCTGAGCAGGGAATAAAGCATGGGGTATGCCAGCCAGAGCGGGCAGTACAGCTGGAAGAATTTGCAAGCTGAAATTCTTTAAGATATGCTGATGATCTTCCCCCAATTCTTGCAGGGTTACCAGAGAGTTACCTCCAAAAAGCAAGGAATAGGAAACTTGTACCTCCTTTGGGGAAAGGTCCTAGTGAGATCTTGCGAACATACCCTGCTATCTGCTTACAGGAAGGAGCAGAAAAAACAGCCCAGTGCCCAAAACCATCCACATGTTTACTGCTGATCAGAAAAAGCATTTCTGAAACTGCCCACTCGTGAATTCAAATTCTCCTTCTAGACAGGGTGGAAGTTTGGAAGTTATCCAGATGTTTTATCTCACCTCAGCAGGAAGGTTTCTTTAGAGAGAAACCAAAAGCTTAACGACTGAGAAATTTTCAACCCTTTCTTATCTTCTGACAGGGTCAGTCTGCAAGCCAGTCTTGAGAATTTAGAAGTGTGTGTCCCTGCCAAGATTAAATATTCCTTGGGCTATTAAATCAACCAGACTGATCCAGGTTTGGGAGCAATGTTAGATGTCTATTATGAATCTGTGTGGGTTTTTTCCTAATTTGCACTTTCTCTTTGTTTACACCTGTCACTTGGTACTCTCCTCCTCTGAGAAAGTGAAGATCTGGGTCCATAATTGTATCCAAATCAATTTCAGCCAGATTTAGGCATTGACATGTGGTTGTGGCATGCAGAACACCTGAAACACCTGGCACTAAAGTACACTTGAACTTTGCTTTTCAAAAGCATTGTACTGGCCTAACTTAGTTGTTAGTGTGAATCTGCTGAGCATGAAAAACCAAGAGTCTTTCCTTGATATGGGAAAAGAGGCTAGGAGTTCACTTTAGCTTAGGTCTCCAACCAAAGCTGAAAGCTGTGGGAGACCTTGACCTCAGCCAACAGCAAATACTTTATCCACTTGCTCTCATTACCTGGAAAATCTTCTTGGCATGATAGTCATCGACTTCAATGTTCACTTCTTTCAGGAAGTCCTTAAGCTCTTTCAAGCTCATCTTGTTGTCTTTGTTTTTATCAGCTTTCCTCAGGCAGGTATGAATCCAGCTGCAAGATGATGTAAGGAAATCTTTCCAGGTCAGTGCCTAGACTAAATACCACCCTTCTGCTGCCTAGGGGGGGAGGTGAGGGGGGGTGGGGGGTAACTCTTTTAAAGACTGAACCACCTCTGCAGCTGCTGTAAATCAACACGCTACCACTGAACAGCTTACATCATCCCACCTTATGCTCTGAAAAACAGTGCTTTGGCAGAAGCAAAATGCACTGTGATACAAGTGATCATGACCCAGGAGAAACTTTTCACCGTCTGGCCTAGGCTTGATCAGCTCTCTTTACCCTGTAGGATTTTTTGGCCACAGCCAGGAACAGTCTGATTTCTCTTAGTGCATTCTGCTCCACGCTGTCAAAAGGGGATAGAGGAAGGATGAAAAGAGCTCCCAAGTGGAGCTTGGTAAAGTCATTGTTACGGATTTGATCAATATTGAGTACATCGAGGTGAACACTGAACAGAGGTTCTCCAAAAAGAAGCATTACTATTAATCTTTGGACTCACCTTCAGCTTCTGTATCTTTTTAGGGACTTCTACCTATATGTCTTAAGAACTTCGTTGTGAGCAGAATCAAACCAAACTGTGTGGGTCTTGTCTTCCTCTCATGAAATGCACAGGGAGTATTACTGTATCATACTGTAATAATAGTTCATAAGAGCTGGGTTTACAATAACTTTAGTATATCTATGGACATCACCATCCACCCCAGGGTGGAGAACACGCCCTCCACCAGCTGTGCTCCAAAGAGCATGTGCTCAGCATGTCAACATGGTGCCAACAGCGGTGCCACCCATTCATAGCCGACCCCTGCACCTCAGGTCCCCTTCACAGCCTTCCCTAAAAATAATGCAGGAGTAACATGCAACTCTAGCGAGCCAAGAGGAAATCTAGTCTGATCTAGTCTGTCATGGCCAGAGGTGAGCAGCAGGGTTGGATAACACTAACTGTGTGTAGGAACTACTCTTTTTGCTCTAACCACTGGAAAAAGCCCACCTTTTTTTAAAAGTCTGCAGTCATTTCCACTGATCATGAGCACCCTGACGTCACGCACATATCCAGAGTTGACTCTGGAAGGCAATATCTGGGCAGTAAATGCATCTGCAAAAGAGTATGCCTCGGTCCTGCCTGCAAACACAGGATGCTTTCCTGTTATATCCCTTCCAGAGAGGCTGAGGATGTAGGAAGGAAATCTGATAGCCCACGAAGAGCATAGGCACACAGTGGGCCCTCTCGCTGCAAGGGCAAGCAGCAAAGAGAGAAAAAAGGAGACTACAGACAACTGGGGCCTCAAGCTGTTGTTTCAGCAAATAGCACTGTTCAGTCCCCAAGACACCCAAACTCCTCATGCATCTGGAACCTCTCAGGTCTGAGAGAGCTTTTTGAAGCTGGATGAACTAAGGACTGAAATTCTTCTCATCTGATACGAGCAGGATTTTGCAGCCCTGGTTGTGGGTCTTCCTTTCACCTTACATGCTTATTTGGGCCTGGATGGATTAGGTAAAAAGCTGGTCCCATTCGTGTATATACCTGGAGAAAGCCTGCTCCCTGCATCATGTTTTTAAAGGATCTGCCGGCTCCAGGGCTACCAGGTTTCTATTAGAAACCAAAGAGGGATGACTGAAACTATCTGGCAGATATCCCATGAATGTGCTCGGAAGAGAAATGCTGCAAAACTTCTGGTAAGTGCTTTCCAACCAGAAGAAGAGCTCATACATCAATCCCACAATTGAAGCAGATAGTGCCATACTACTCAAAAGAGAAGCCTCCTGTATTTGCTGGTCTAACGTCTTCCCTGCACACATACCTGCAATATTTACTAAATAACCTATGCCAGCTTGTTGCAGAGTTGAATCTGAGGATTAATAAAAAAGTACTGTATGTATAAGAACATCAGCAGCACTCACTAAGTGTGTGGGAGTTTTATCTTTGTAGTAACACAAGACTGGAAAGGACACAGACTCTACATCGGGTCCCTTTACCACAGGCAACTCCATCATCTTACAAACTGAATAAACCCCTTCTGAAACTAGCCAGGTTTTGCATTCAATACCTGTTTTCAAAATCTTTCTCATTCCTTACTTGCTTTGCAAGGTTTTGGATGGCTGGATGGGGGACAGGCAGGGGACCCAAAACTTCTCCTCATCTACTGACTCTTCCCCTTCTGTGCTCACAGATGCAGAGAACGCTTCTGAGGTTTAAGGAAGATCTGAGTAAGCCCACGCTGCCAAGCAAACCCAGGGAAGACAGACTAAATTTAAAATCCCAGGCTTTAATTAAATATCATCAAATTTCAAATGAGAAATCATGCTGTTCTGTAATTCCAGGTTACGTTAAACGTCCTGAGACAATCCCAGATTGGAAGCCAGCACTGCACAGTAATTACTCTTCCAGAAATACAGCTTGCCTACCCACCCTGTTTAGCTTCGATTCTGCTTTCCAAAGACAGAAAGGCACTTTTCCGTGCTGGAAATTTACAGCCTTCTTCCCTTCCAAATGTCATTGTTATTTTCCCCCCCTTAGTAATCTCATCTCTTCTAATGGGGAAGTTTTTCAGCAATATATTCAATTTGACATGCTCTAGGGACAACTTCTTAGCCCAGATTTTCCCCACACACTGTGGAGTGGGGACAGCTTTCGCATTGAAAAGGAAAACTGCCAGGGTGCAACATTTCCAACCGCAAAACTGTCTCAAGATATCAACTTGTCTGGGGACTACTCCCTACCACCGCAGACACACAACTGATAACACTGCTGAGGAATGCAGCCTAAAGCTTGACAAACCTTCTGAAAAGATGCTCATAGTGCAGGAGATAATCACAGCATCCCATGCACATCAGAACTAATGGAGTCTGATTGCTTCAAATGAACAGCACTATAGTCGTACAAGTGCTTATTAGACTTCAAAGAATCCACAGAAGAGTAAAGCCTGGTGAAAGCTCAGTATTTATGTGCCATCTCCTTCACCATCAGTACATTATTACCCCCATGGAGGGAAGCCTTGACTGAGGGCAAGACATCCTGATACCTGCTCAGCCTCAGCCTCGGCTTTGTGACGTTCCCCAGCTGAGGATTTTGCATGTCCCCTCCTCTCCACAGATGCTTTGATGTTGAACAAGGCATGAAGCTCACGCAGCCTGCTCTCACCAGCAGCGCTATCTGGTTTCCTCTCTGACAGCTGGATCCCTACCTTTGTGAAGCTTAAAGGAACTTATGGCTGCTGTGGCCATGTCAAATCGGAGCAAAATCGGCCAACAGGTTCATATGTCATGGTCAGGGCCTCAGACACACAGGGACTGCAGAAAATCCATCAAAATCTCCACCCACAGATATTCTCTCTTTTTATATGGATGTGGGACCTGTGATCGCAAAGCAACTTATGGAGTGAAATGCAGCCCTGGGGAAAATTTCCTGTGAATTCACCAGAGCCACGATTTCACCCAATAACTAACTCACTCTCCATTTCACAACTAATTCACCCTCCTTTCCTGCTCTGCTGCTTTACCTTTCTGTTGTCACTAGAGCAATTCCAACTTTTTTCGGGGCAAAACTTCCTCCCATGCTGAGGCAAAGAAGGAGTAATTTCACTAAAGTCAGTGGAGCTACCCCAGAGTAATTTGGCAGTCAGAACAGGAGAATCAGTTCCCTTGCCTTGTATTACTAAGAAACATGATAAACAGTACGGGCTTTTCATGCCTTGCCAAGAAGCGTCTGTCCTGGAGTTTACTGCAATGCAAGTGAAACAGATCCCTGAAGAACACAAAAAATAATGATTGTTTTATCTGGAGCTCCCTGAAAGAGGCAATTCTTTGCTTTAGGAGCTATGTGAAGCCTGAATCCACTCTTGCTTGTATCACTGCAAAACAGGGAAGAAAAGCATTGGAAACCAGGGAGTTTGCCTGGGTGCAAAATCAGTGCAAGAGAAAACTCAGTGCCATGGGCCAATAGGAAAAAAGGGGGTTAGTCTACTATCTCCACCCACAGGGAAAGACAAGTGCATCTTTGTCTGTGATTAATCACTTTAAAAGGCAAAGGATACTGTTGGAGTTTCTGTTTCTGGTTCATGGAGTTGCTGTGGGCTATGATTTTCGCAAGGCCAGAGATCCAGTGGTTGGCATCGTCCTCTGAACTCGCAATGAGGTCCAGGTTTTTCCGCTGATCTTTGAAAATGATGGAAAAGCAGCGATACTCTGGGATATCCTTGGCGTATTTTTCCATACCTTCTGTTTTATGGCCTGACCTCACATCCCGAATATCTTCAATGGAGACTGTGGAAAGAAAGCAGAGCCTGCTGTCAGCAGGGGTTCAGTCAACATTATCTCTACTTAGTGAGGGATATTAAGAAATTACTCTTTCTCCTTTTACTGCAGCCTCTGGAAGATTCCCCTCCCTTTCCCCTCTTCCCCAAACTCTGCTACTAAAGAAAGCTCAAATCAAAAGGAGCAGAAAAAGTAAAAAATTTTAAAAGGAAAAACTCTCTCCCCATGTTCCTGATTTAACAAAGAAGCAGAATATGCTCTAGATGCCATACTGTGATATCATGTTTATGAGACACAAATCTGCCAAGAGTTTGGTTCCAGTCCTTGGAGAATCCCTGACTTGATCTCTGCCTCCATCTGAGAGTGGGGAGGGGAGAGCTGTGCCTCCCTGTGAACATCACCTCCCAGGAAAATGAGAGCTGACTTCAGCAAGAGGAGTGCAGGGACCAAAATAGTCATGCTTTAGTTTGCAAAAAAAGTGAGAAGGTAAAATTTTAAATCCCCATATGTTCTTCTCAGTCACTCTAGTGCAAATTAGGGATGCAAAGACCAAAGCTTCAGAGCAGTTTGGTGTCGCCCATACTCCATCCTCACCCCTGTCAAGGGTAGACTTGATCCTCTTTGCTGTAAGAAAGCAAAACACTGCTTTAAAGACCGTCCTTCCCCATTTCCATCTCTGTCCCTCAGCTAGTGGAAACGAGCCCTGAAGCCACACAAAGTTTGCAAAATGCACACACAAGGCAATCCAGCAAGAGCGGCGCATTCTACGTTATTAAATAAAAGTAACAGAAACACTGCTGTTGTCCCTGACAGCACACGGGTGCCCTTAAACTGTGCTGAAATCAGGCCAGCTCCCAGCATCACGCACAGCCTCTTTTTGTCTTTGCTGGGCCACTTACTACACCTCCAAATGATTGAGTGGAAAGGGCAAAAACTGCTTAATCACATTTGAGTACTGAGAAACTTAACACCGAAGTAGAGATGGCAGCTACACACAATGAATGGCAAAAATGTTTGCAAACAGTGTTGGAGTCCATAACCGAGAAAGTCTCGTTGCATTTTCTTAGGCGGGAGACAGGTCAGTTAATTTTTTGCAAACACCTACCAATACCATCTCAGGGCACACACAGAAAAGGCAACACACATGAGAGATGTTCAGCCATCTTCTATAACAAGCACGCCAATGCCAAAAAATAGATATAATCACAGGAATTTGGAGGAGAAAAAAAAAAAGCTTAACTTTTCCTCTACCTCAAACCACACATTACAGGTAAAAATTGTTTCCTATTTCCTGTGTCACAAGTGTGTGAGATCGATTTTATTATTTTATTTGTGCTTATCTTGAAGGAGCTTCATTGAAAAGCAGTACATAAGCATAAAATATCCCCACTGTTTAGCTAAGAGGAGAAACTTGCCTTTAAAAATGCATTTTATCTGCTCCTTCATTTAAATTGGTTCAATTTCACCATTAAAGCACCCAGTACATTCAAAGTCAACACTTGCAGAAAAACACAACTCAGTATCTACTCTGCATGTTTTCAGCATGGCTGCTCTGGGATCATCTAAAATTCATCAGATGCTCCCTAGAGTTTGAAAACTTCCAGGGCAGTCATGATAATGCTCAGCTGCTGGGGTGGAGGGAATCAACGCCCAAAACCCAGAAAAATTCAGTCTTCAAAAATCAGTGACTTTCCAAAACCAACATTTGACATTTGCTTTAAATTCTCACCACATGTTGGGGTGATCAAACATCTTCCACAGCACTTTTCTGGTTTGGTTCCTATACAAGAACATACCATAATGACCTTCCTGAAGCTAGCAAAGCTCCTCCCTGACAATTACGAGCAATTATCTTTGTGTGGTCTTTTATTATCACTTTGTAAAGGCCAACAGTTGATCGGTCAGAGGGGAGGGGAGGAAAAGGTTGGCTTGGGATGGGCTACTGTGGAATTGCATTATCAGGCCAATTTAGAGTGAGTTTATGGTTTTGAGGACTAAAACCTGTCCTTGGAAGAAAAGGGCTGCAATTCCCTTGCAGCTGGGGCTGCTAATGGAGAGCCTTGCTGGTGATTTTGCCCATTAACTGGGACAAATGATAGTGATTGTGCCTTAGGTAGAACTATGCCCTTAATGTAAGTGATGCTATCACGTTTGGACAGATTCAGTTCAGTCAAAAAGTCTAAAGTTTAGTTAGACTTGTTTTATAGACAACGGGAAAAAAAAAGAAACTTTTGGAATACAAAGGTTCTGTCTTATTTAGACAAAAACTTTAGGGCAAGATAATAATCCATGACTACAGTGGACCCGTGACCAGAAAGAAAGTCCAGGCTGAGCATCTCTGATGCAGACCTGTGCCAGGTAGATGGTCCATAAGAGGGTGATTCTCTTACACTCCCAGTCTCTTCTGGTTATAGCAGTGCAAGTGGAAGGATCATCCTGCTGTTCCTCATCACCCGCCAACTGCTCACCACTGCTTGGCTCGTAAGAGTTATTGTCCCTTCAGAATGGCTAGCTAGTCTGCTTGTGCAATCAATCCCTAAACTTTGGGTTGGCAACAACCTAGTGTTTCCAAGACTAGAAAATCTGATGTTAAATATTGGAAATTTAGAATGGATTCTTTGGAAACCATTACCTGGCAAAGTGAATCCACTGGAAAAGAGAGCTGTGTGGGAGGAAAAAAAGATTGAAAACCTGTGTGTGGAACGGCTGCCTTGATCTCTTTGCTGAGAAGTGGATGATAGAGGACACAGAGCTCCTTGATGCAGAAAAGGTACAAGGAAGGCTGAAGAACAGGATTGATGTCTACTGTAGTCACGCAAGAGACAAGGAAAGAAACTATCAATGCAGGAACTGTTAAAAAAGCAGGGTAAGGGAGGACACTTTTTAAAGCTTTCCATAGCTTGGTCATCTATCAATAAAAAAGCTGAAGCCAAAGGAGTCGGCCCAAGCCATCTGCAAATGTTATCTCTTTTCTGGAAAATCTTAACCCAGCATGAGTACATTATCAGCTGCTCCCAAACGGTGAGTGTACTTTATTAGCAGTTCCAAGCTAATTGTGTGCTCAGCTGAGCTATCTGCAGAGGGAAATCAGAAATATCTGGGGGACAGAGATGTTTCACAGCAGAGGAACACTTACAGTAAATACCCATCAATCACATATCCTGCAACCTCCCTGTTCCTTCCCCATCACGCCACAGCGGGGAGGTAACCACAAGCAGAAGAGAGTCTGGAAAGTTTGCATCTACTTCTCCTAAGTGGTTACGTCTGCTGAAGAGGTGGTTTGTGTAAAGCCCAAAACATGAAGCACAACACAAGGAGGCTTGTGTCCTTCCTGGCCTGCAGACATCGAGTCAAACAGGTTACGTCCTGGTCAGCCTTCCTGGCTGCTGCGGATGCTGCTCAGCCAGTGCCACAGCTGTAGACTCCCCACTGACATGGACATACAGCAGCGTTCCATGGAGCCAGAGAAATTACTCCTGTCTGAACTAGTTTCAGGGAGATGTTGAGAACTTTCTTTTTAATCGTCCTTTCAATTTTCATCACTGGATACTGCCCTTGTGTTCCTCCCTTGCTAATTCTTGGACCAATGCCCTTCCCCTGTTTCACCCAGGGAATTAGCAGGCAGATGGGAGTCAGGCCCGCAGGATGCAGGAGGCCACTTTTGACAGCCAGGATGTTTTCAGGCAACCAACATGTATCTTTTGGGTGTGTCTTTTGAGTTGGATTTGCCTCTTCATGGCTTTCAAGGAGCTTGCTGTTACACTTGCAAGCCTGTCCCCTCATGCAGAAGGAAGAGGAACACCTCTCAAAGGAAAACAAAAGCTGTTATTCACACTGATGTGCCTGCAACCAGACTTTAGAGTGTCTGCAAGTACCTAAGTCCAAAACAGTGACCCATAAAACCTTTGTGAGTCGGTGCAGAACCTCACCTGTGCCTCTGCCTGACCCAAAAGCTCCCCCATGCCCCAGAAGTTAGTTTCTTCCTTCAAGTGACCCCTGCACAAAAGGCTCCCCACCTCCTTCCAGCAGGACCTGGCCACCCTCCCCACAAGACACACCCCAGTGCAAGGATTTCAGCCCTACGTGCACGTGGAGAGAGGATGGCCGTTTGTGTGAGACCGGTTCCTGCAGGAAGCAGTAGGGAGAAGGATACAAATTCGATCTCCCCATCACCCTAAAAGCTGTAACCCCAGAGATTTCAGACTTCAGGAGTCCATCCGAGTCACATGTATGCCCTATGAGCCATTGGGTAGCCAAAAATACAAGTGTTGAGGAGCCAGAAGGACAAGCCTGACAAGGTGCCTAATGATTAGAGCATTTGTCTGAGAGACGAGCCTTGGTCACTGGCCTCTCCATCTCTTCTCCGGTCACTGCTCCTCAGGTGAAATGTCCAGCCTGTGCCTGGAGCATGGATAGCAAAACACTTTGGCAATCCTAAAGAATACAGGTAAAGGAGGAATAGAGGCAGACAGCAATCAGCCTTTGTCTTCCTCCTGTTTGACAGGCAGCCCTTTGACAAGACAGATTCTTTCAAGAGTCTTACAGAAAAGAGAGAGAACAAGGATCTGAATCCACATCTTCTGCAAACCACTGGGCATGTGAAGGACAAGGACCAAAAGGTGCTTCTCATTCCTTGTGCCTTTGCTGATAAAAAGGGAGAGGAGGGTCAATGTATAGAGACTTGGAGGCACTGCCAAAACAGCTGGCCTTGAGTTACTCATGAAGGAAAGAGGGCAGTTTTTTTCACTCTGGGGGAAATACTCCTTGGATCCTTCCTGTTCCTTACCCTACCTCCCTGTCATTAGGAAGTGATCTCTGCAATGTGGCATTCAGTCACACTGAATTACTCCATCCCACTCTAATTGTCTTAATAAGTCACTTCTGTTTACTGTCAGGAAATGCGGATGAGAAATGTACTCAGCTGTTAATATTGCACACGATAATATTGCACCATATTTGCACACAATACTGCATGTCTGCAGAGACATCAGACCTTCACTAGCTGCAGC